GTGTGTGTGTGTGTGTGAGGGGGGATAGAAAAGTGCTTCCATCCTGTGTAATTTCCACACTTAGGCTGCATACCCCCCCCCCTGCTGTGATAAGTCAGCCACAGCAAAGTGGAACTTCATTAGAATTCATCCCTGGAAAACAAGAAATCTAAGGCGTGCGCTTTGTGTTCTTGTTTTTTTAAACTTTTATTCTAATATGTGCGCGCAATAACCCACAGCTTTCTGTTTTTACTGACGCAGATAATCACGTTTATAACAAAAAAGGCAGAAAAATGTTGAAATTGTTCCGCAGAACCTGAAGTAATTAAGGTTGYTTGTCCAGTCGACGGCACAAAACTCAAAGATTTTTACACAGGAACTCCAAAACAATCAATTCTAAGCTAAACCAATCAGACTGTGAAATAATTGAATGTATTAGGTAGAAAAAATGTCATTGTTTTACGTCGYAACATGCTATTTTGTTGCTTATTCTGCAACAACTTTAAATAAAATGTATTTTTTGTCACTTTATTTAGGAAAATTTCATGCAAAACATCTACAGTAATTTAAAAAAGCATCACATGATGATTTATATTTATTTAAAAACAAAAATGCAATGACCACTATTGCTTTTAGTAGGGGTGCAACAATACAGAAAATTCACGATTCGGTTCGATACTTTAGTCTCACGGTTCGATATTTTTTCGATTCAAAAAAGAGAAATTTCCATGCCCCTTTTAACTTGTAATTTATTTCAATTAATTATGATTATTTGTTGAACCTCAAAAGTCCAGTTTTTAAATTAAATGTTGCTGAAACAGCAAGTTTCTCAGTGGATCTGCGCTCAACAATGCAACCTAGGTGGAGTAGTCGAACACAGATCCACTGATCCTTCAACACAGAGCATCTTCAGAAGACAAGTTGATAAAATAAATGTTAAAAATCTGTATTGTTCGATACAAGTGTGTATTGAACCTAAAGCACTGTTCGATACGGGTACATGTATTGTTGCACCCCTATTAATTAGTATCACAAATTGCCTACCATTTTATATTGTATTGGAAAAGTTATGCATTAACACTGAATAAAATACACATTTATACTTATTTCAATTTGAATGCACAAATACAGGTTACAGGTCTCYCCTGTAAATAAAACTACCTGTCTAAACAAAATAAATATCCATGAGACTGCATGAGGAAATACATGAATATAGTTAAAATCATTACMCCTGCATTCAGCACAGATCTTAATAAACAGTTTTTTTATGATCACATTTAATTTCAAGACTAAGTTTTTCCAAAATTATGTAAAAAATAATTTAATATAGCATTAGCTAAACACCAGAGTAAACTGATTGTTTTATTTATATTTATTTAGCTGTTTTATCATTTTAAATTATACTTATCCTCTTCTGTAACACTGAGTCTGTCAAGCTGATGTTATTTAGCCTCGGCTAATCTGCATGCTTCATTGCTAACATGCTAACTCTTGTTTGTTTAAAAAAAAAGAGAGTTTGATGTTGTTTATCATTTAGACTAGTCTGTATTGACTGAGTTATCCACTCCAAATGTAAATTTAATTGACTTTTAGGAAATTTCTCCTCTTTTCAGTTGTGTTCGACTTAATGACTGGGGAGCTTTGTTCACCCATAATCGTATAATCATGTGGTTACGAAAAAAAATCTTACCAAATTTTCATTGAGAAAYTGAAAGATAATTTTATCAATAAAATAGGCAAAATGCAAACAAACTGATTATCTTTTGGTTATTAAAGCACTCAAATGTATCTCACCCAGTGGRATATGTTCACACCTGGTTTAAATCTACAATTTGTTACATTACTTGTTACAAAAGTGATGTTTTCTTAAGCTTGTGTGTCATAGTTACAGACTTTACAGTCTAAATCGAAAAGTTTTAGTGTTTAGMAAGAATCCATCCATCCAAACTGTGTGAAAGGAAATGTTATAAATTTCTACCCAAAGCCAGTTAGCACTTTGACCTGATAAATGACTTTGCATCTGTTTGGTAACTAATCAATAACTGAATTAGTTAACCAGCTCCTGCTTTGAAACGGAACATTTCTGTTGATTTCTCCCCATTTAAAAGGCCAAACGCTCGGCCTGACACYGGGTCAATGGCGCCGGCGTCCGGCGCGGGGCTAAAACAAAAACGTCCCTGATGGAGCCGGCTGCTCTTTAGCCAGAGGACATGTTCTGTTTGAGTGAGGGGCGTAGCTGCGATTATAGATTTGCTCAACACTACAGCTGAATGATCACACTTTCAAGCTGTTTGTAAGCCTCTGAACGCCTACCCTTTGTGTGAAATCAGCAAGTTCCCTCCCACTCTCTGCGGCCTGTTGAAAGGCTTTCTTGAAMATCGCAGGAAATCAGTGAAAGAAGTGAAGGCAGGTTGGAGAGTTTGATGGCAGTCGTACTGCACGTTGCATAAAAAAAATACACATCAGAGGGAAAGGTGTTCTTTAAGATCCAGGGCATTAAGTTGCTCCTCTCAGATGTGTAGTTTAAATCCTGGGGAAGCAGTGTCGTCAGGAATTTTAAACAGCCGTTCTTTCTTTCACAATGGGTGACTTCATCTCGATGGTTCAGCCGAGCAGCTCGCTCCCGGTGTGCTGGAAGAGGTGGATCGTCTGCAGCTTTCACCATTCATCATAGTTGTTCTGTGAGTCAGTGGTGATTAATCTGATTGCTGGTTGCTCGGGCTCTTCTGTGTCCCCCAGAGAGAAAGCCAGGAATGGTGGGGGGGATTTGTACTCGGATAAACGGCCCCCACTGCCCCCCTGGATGTTAACTCTCTTTCTTTTTTTATTGTTCATTTTTACGCTCGACTCTTCCCAGGTGTTCACGTCATCGCTGAGACGTGGCTGCCGGTGTTTCGGCACACAGCAGCCTCCAGGAGTAAATGCTGCTGCTCTGTGACGATTCCACCTGATTCAGCATCTGTAGGTGTAAAATTTGAAAAAAAGTCGATCTAAAACCATCTCAACTTCCTATAAGAACGACCTGATGTGACGGTGCACCCTGATTATGGAACGCCAAGTGTAAAATGTCTTTATTTAGCTCACTGTTCTTACATTCAGCTAATTTTTACTAAATGTTCAATTTAAATGTTAAAAAAAAATACTAAAATCTAAATGTTTCTATGTAAAAGTTAAACCTTAAATGTTTACGTTCACATTTTGGTATTTTGGAATGGAACGCAGCCTTTGCCGTCGGTGCTCAGCTTATGTTATGATGTCATCATCACGAGACRATAGCAACCGCTAGTGCTCCAARGCAGAWAAARMTTCYRTTAAAACCATAAAACTTGCAGTTCTGGCTGGTGTTTGAACTGCATTTCAAACTGCATATTGTTTTTATGAACACATTTTGAAGTTAGATTAGAAATATGATCTTCAGCAGTGTTAGCAGCGGTCATTGTTGATGTTTGTCGCAGGATAATAGATAATCATCCTGGTTAAATGACGCTAGCGTCTAACACTGCTAAAGATAATATTTAATATCTAAATTAAAAATGTGCTCATAAAAACAATATGGGTGGTCCCTGTGGTCCAGCAGTTTGAAGTGCAGCTCAGACACCAGCCATAACTGCAAGTTTGATGTTTTTTTAGGGAAGTTTTAGCTGGATTGGAGAGTTAGCGGTTGCTATTGTCTCGGGATGATGACATCATAACATGAGCCGAGCACCAACAGCAAAGGCAGATCCATTTCAAAATAGCCTAAATGTGAACTTCAACATTTAAGGTTTAACTTTTAGATTTAGATTTAAACTTTAAGATTTAATATTTAATTTTTTTTAACATGTAGTAAAAATTAGCTTAATGTGAGAACAGTGAGCTAAATGACAATAAAATGTTAGTGGAAAAATTTTAACACTCAAAAACTAAGCTAAGTAATGAAAAATATATTAGCGAAATTTTTTAACATTACATTTTACACTTGGTCCCCCATACCCTTTTATTAGTTAAGTCATTTTTTATAAACTATTTTCATGCCACAATTTTAGACTAAATGTGTGTCCAGTAATTAACTTATGCTTGTTTAAT